CCTTTCGCCGCTTCCAACCCCCAAACCCCGGACAGGCTCAGCCAGGCCGCGCGCATAATGAGTCTTAATTAACAGTTTCGCGGTGTTTTGGGAAGCTTAATTTGCCGAGCCGAGCCTCCAAGAAGAGACGAACTACCGGAGCTCTGCCGCCGCTTGCAAATTTTCCCGCCGCGCGCCTGCTCCCCGATGGAAATCCGATGCTCCAACTTTCAGAGGCCGTTTCAGGCGATCGAAGCGAGGATCTTGCGATCGATAGTTCAGGTTGTGTTGACTGTGGAGATTCGCGAAGATTCGATGGAGACGGGAGTTGGAGTTTCTGGAATAGAGAGGGATTTGGTTAGTTAAGGATAGGCACAGTTACAATCAGTAAAACGTATAAAAAGATCGGCCGTTGCCATAAAAATTAAAATTTTAGAAACTTTTCCAATCGATTGTTAAAAAATCTTGAAGTTTCACAAAATATTTTAACACTGGTAGCGTGTTATAATCTGAGAAATTTATCAGCAAAGTGATCTGCCTCGTTCAACACGGCAGATATCTAAGAATCTTGTACGCACGGACGATCCTTTAGTATCGGAAATCCAGTTCATAAATTAAAGAAAACGAAGGTACACTTGTTCAGTAAATATAAGATTTACAAAAAATTTCGTTACCATGAAAATTAGCATGTTAAAAAGTTGCACTGCTTTCCTACTTCACCTGTTAGGAATCTTAACACCGAATCTAAATTACAATCTAAGAAACTTACCCGGCGATCTGCTCCATTTAACGATTCCTTACGAACACAGCAAATATCTGAGACACCACCATACGAACAATTCTCCAGTATCGCAAATCCCATTCATAAATTAAAAACAAGGTACACTTATTTAGCAAATGTAAGATCAAAAAAATGTCGTTGCTATAAAAATTAAAATTTTAAAAACTTTCACTTTCTTCCTACTAAAAAATCTCTAAACACTGATGATGAATGTCTAAATATTCTAAGAAATTTACGATCTAAGAATATCTAAATATTACGATTTAAGAAACCATACGCGGACCATAACGAGCGACCGTATACAATAATTCGTCGCTTTCTTTTTCTTTTTCTTTTTGAACTCATGTTGGTATGATATCACTGGATAGAAATTATTGAGAAGCAATAAATTTATTATTTGTTTTGCCTGGGTTATACTTAAAACTGCCAAGATATTGCAATTTTGAGAGAAAAAATTCTCGACGTGTGTGGCACGTTGTTCCAGCGCAAGAGATTAACGATTCCTCATAACCACCTGCGCTGGGGCAACTGATTGCGGACCATAACGAGTGACCAGACTCGTATACAGTAATTCGTCGTTTTCTTTTTCTTTTCGAACTCATGTCGCTGTGATATCACCGGATAAAAATTATTGAGAAGTGATAAATTTATTATTTGTTTTGCCTGTCTTGTTTTACTTAAAGTATATTTAAAACTGAGGAAATGTGACAATTTTGGGACAAAAAATTCTCGACGTGCGCGGCACGTCATTCCAGCGCAAGAGATTAACGATTCTTCATAACCACTTGCACTGGCAACCGATTGCGGACCACAAAGAGTGACCAGACTCGTATACAGTAATTCGTCGCTTTCTCTTTCTTTTCGAACTCATGTGGGTATATCAGTGGATAAAAATTATTGAGAAGTAATAAATTTATTATTTGTTTCGCCTGGGTTATACTTAAAACTGCCAAGATATTGCAACTTTGGGACAAAAAATTCTCGACATGCGTGGCACGTTGTTCCAGCGCAAGAGATTAACGATTCTTCATAACCACTTGCGCTGGCAGCCGATTGCGGACCATAACGAGTGACCAGACCCGTATACAGTCGGTACGACAAAAATTATTGAGATGTTATAAATTTATTATTTGTTTTGCCTGTCTTGTTTTACTTAAAATGTACCTAAAACTGAGGAAATGTGACAATTTTGGGACAAAAAATTCTCGACGTGCGCGGCACGTCGTTCCAGCGCAAGAGGATAAACACAGCAGAAGAACCTTGTACGCAACCCCACGAACGATCCTCCAGCGTCGCAAATCCGATTAACGGCAATGTTACGGCGATCAACGGTGGAAGGCGACGCAAGCAAACAGTGTCGGTGCCTCCTCGACACTTGACCGTGGTGAATCCGCCAGTCGTATCCGGCGCCTAATCTGCCGTGTAACGCGGCAGGTCCGTGAAGAACCACCCTCCCTTGCAACCCACCGTGTTCCAAATCCAATAACCCCCCCCCCCTCCCCCCCGGACAAGTGTGACACGACGCGCGCGTCCTTTCTTTCCCTCGCTTTTCTCTCCCTCCGTCGTTTTTCTCTCTTTCACTCCGTCTGTCCCTGTGCCAGTTGGACGATCAAACGTTTCCTCGACGGGGCAGTCATCCTGCACGTGGCCACTCGAACAATGCGCCAGCCGCACCCCGTTGCTAATAGTCGGGCATTAAATTCGTCGGTGATATTGCCGGACCAGGGGAGGATTGTTCCCCTCCCCCACCTCTTAAGAGTCGCTCTCAATGGGACGAGACGTCTGAAATATGCTTGCTCGTTTCGTCCATGGGGAGGGGAAGGATGGATGCACCCGGGCCAACGATAGACAACGTTACGAGCGAGAGAAAGCTGACGATGGATCTCGAAGCAAAGGGGAGTGTGTTTTTCGGAGAGTTGGTTATTTGAAAGGTGAAGAAGAGGATGTTGAAGCTCGGGGGCTTGATTGTCGGTGTGCGATGAACGTTGTAATAACTTGAAATTTCGCTTTGGGTTTTGATGTGATTGATGATGGGGTGGTTTTTGAAGGTGGTATTGTTCCATTAGGTAGGACGTGAGGAATGGGAGGAATAAGTTGGACGTACAGAGGGTGAATGTACATTTTCGTGATACATGACGAACTGAAAGTTATTTTCAGAGTTTGGAGAAATTAGATTCTCAACTTTTCAGAAGTATCTGTGTATCATCTTTTAATTCTGGTACGATGGGTTTTTTCTTAGCTTGTGGAAATGGAATTTCAACCCTCAAATTATGTTATATACATTTTAGAATTTAAGGTATATTATAGGTATATTATATTATATAAAATAACTAAAAATTGAAATAATAAAATTGTGAAGTAATTTTCAGTTTTTTATATAATATAAAATTTGGAGACTTTAAAATAACTAAAACTGAAATAATAAAATTATGAAGTAATTAGTAAGTAAAATATAAAAGTTATATAAAATAACTAAAAATTGAGATAATAAAATTATGAAGTAATTTTCAGTTTTTTGTACAATATAAAATTTGGAGATTTTAAATTTTGAATTTTCAAAAGTGCCATCATCTATCGTTCACTTACACGATACATTCTCTCTAGATTGTGAAAATAACCTTCAAACTATACTAAACGTACGTTTCAGTACCTCCGGTATCAGATGAAACTGCAAATTATCCCTTTGTTAATGAAATATTAACATTTCGAGAATTCGCATTTACGGTGAAAGTAATAGACACTTAGTTTCCTTGCTTAAAAAAAAAAAAAAAAAAAAGAATTCGCGAAATACCTCGAAACCAGGAAACTGAGGATCTATTTCATTAGCGTTTCAGTTATTTTAACGTGGACTGAAATAATGTAATTAAAACGACTGGAATGTTCTTGCTCTATACCGTGAAGCATAATTTACTAATGAAAAAGACCGATGGTGGCTTTTTTTGCTAGCGAGCATCCAGCGCAGCAACGCCAACAGCCAGGTTGAATTATTGCGAATTCAACGCACGGACGCGGCACAATTGTGCCGCAGGGATTAAACTTGAAATGCACTTATGCAGCCATTGTGTTAAATATGGATCTTTGAAGCGGCTTGTTGAATACCTGTTGTTGTGCAATCTTCGCCGATGTGGAAATAATGTTGCGTTTCTGTCACTCCAAGTGCAAAACGTCGCCTTCCATTAGCTCGCCAGTAATTTTACAATGATCGTTAACTCAAAGAAACTCGAAATGAATAAAAAATGACTTCTCGTAAATTATTAAAATTACAAAATAAAATGACGTCGAGTTTTCTTCGGAGCAAACGATTCAGCAACTGTGAAAAAAAAAAAAAAAGGGGGGGGAAGACAACAATGTAACGAAAAAAAAAAAAAAGAAAAAGAAAAAAGAAGTTGTGCGAAGAAGAAAACAGTCGTGCAGATAATCCACGATAATCGATGTTATTACGAAACAATAGATCATCTGCTAGATTAAGTTTGTTCGAAAGGGCTGAGGCTGATTCGCGTGGTTGTTCAGGGGCGGACGAGGACAAAGCGTTCGAACGAGTGCAAAGAGGAGGAAAGAAAGAAGGGAAAGGGAGAGGACAGATCTCCTGGAATCCCCTAATTTGCTATTTCGGCATTCCGACCGATCCGTGTGCTCAGCTGGTTCGTGGGACCTCGGTTCGTGAGATGCTGTCGCTGATCTATCAAAAAACGCGATTCCGTCGGCTCTTCTTCTGTCGCCGAACCGCGATGCCGCGGCGGGACCGGCCTCGTTGGCCGTTGATGGGAACCGACCGGTTCGAATCTATCATGGAAACCATTCAAACGGATGGAATTTCTCGTTGACGTCGCGCCCGATCGCCACGGTGAATCAGGCTGTCGTTTCGTGACACTTCTGGAAAATGGGAAACACATGGATGAAGTCGTATAGAAAGATATTGCGATATAATTGATGGAATGAATATCATTGCAGGAACGAGGTATCTTTGACAATAATTTATGGTGCAGGAGATGTTTAGCTGGAGAATTGAAATTATTTTCTAAAATTATAGCTATATGAACGAGGTATCCTTAATAACATTTTATAATACTGGAGACGGTGTAATCGAAGAGCTGAAATTATTTTCTAAAATTATAGCTTACGTTTAAATCACGCTTTAATAATTAATTCGAATAACGAATGTTTCACCTGTGGCAACAAGGAAACTTTAGGATAAGAGTGATAAAAACGAAAGAGAGGAGAAATCAACGAACCATAGGTTACAGGGAAAATTACTCTCCTTTATTTCGTTTCATCCGAGTAACGACAACATGATGACTATGGAGCTATATAATACAATATAGTACTTGGGTGTTCAACAAACGAGATACAAGTCAGCTGCAATATCCTCTAATCGTGATCGTGAACGTTACTCTTAATCACTGTCGTTTAAATCATTTGTTCTTTAAACGTAGTCCTTGCCCCGCGATACAATTTGCCACCGTTAATTGGAGTTTTCCTTAATTCAGTCGTTATTACTAACTAAATCCCCAGAAGAATGCTCGGAATTCGACGATGCCTCGGTTCCTCTCGCAACTTCCTCTGTCGTTGCACGTTCCGCGATATTTGACCGTTTCGTCGTCTCCGTTTTTTCAGAATTCTTCACCGTTCCCTCTTGTTTCTCCTCTCCTTTGTTCTTAGTCTTCGCGACTTTCTGTTGCGGCTCCTCCTGTCCGTCGTCCAGATACTGATCCCACTTGGCAATTCTGGCTTCTGTTTCCGCGTCGGTTTCTGCAATCCTAAAAAGAAGAAGAAATCGTTTTGACGAGCCCCGTCATCATCATCCGCTCTGCTCGGCTGTGCGTTGGTTGGATTAATTCAGAAGGGAAATTGAAAATTGATAAAAATTATAAGAGATTTGATAAGAAGATTTTCTTAGACCTAAAATGAACGACAGATGATTAGAAAGTATTACAAAATGAAGGGCGGTTTTTCGGAAGATAGGTAGCTACGAAAGTAATAAAAGCAGTTACGAGTTGAAATTTTAATAATTAAAAACGAGAGTGATGTAATGAAAATTAATTGGCAATGTGTCAAGTGTAGTTGGGCTGTTATTAAATTCTGGAAGAATTGAAACTCTCAATTTCATTGTGGTTAACAGAATGAATAAATAAAATAAATAAATAAAATAATTAAATACAAATTTATAGTAATTATAATATTGAGAAAAAATAAATTATTGAATAAATAAATAAAATAATTAAATAATACAAATTTATAGTAATAAATAATATTGAGAAAACTGTACAAAATTTCATAGGAGCATGAAAGTCGGTAATGTGGAATCCTGTGTATGATAACAAGATATATGAAAATAATATTTAATAAATATTTCTGGCGTCATGTACGATAAAAATGTATAAATTTATAATCGTTATAAAACTAATTGCTCAAATAAAGGAATAGATATTATTATATAATTTTTCTCATTTTCGACGTTATCGATCGCAACACAGTAAGGTGGCAACGTTAGCAGCAGTTAATACAAAAACAGCATCAGTCATTAAGTGCAATTAATACCTTTTAATTGTGAATAAAACAACACCTATTTATCTTCTTAGACATTGAGTGCATAAAGAAATCATTCAGATAATAATTTATAGCAATAATTATCACATTGTTAAACTTTTTTTTTTCAATTTTGATATCCTGACTGCTTAAATGAAATTTCACTTTAGAAATTATTAATTGCATTAAGATTTACGTCCTTCACATATGTTTAACATATTTTAAAATATAACGTGTGTACCACATATTTTCTGAAATCATTTCAAAATTTATAAATCAAGACGAGAAAATTGAAAAATTGAAAGTTTGCATGTGAAAAGTAAATTCGAGTACTTTTTCAAAAATTTGTGTCGGTAAATCAAATTCGAGGAGCGAAGAAGCGGTTTCAGAAGGAAAATGAACCTCGATGGTTAATTATCGACCAAGCCAAGCTCAGCTCTGGTTGTGTCGGTAAAACCGACAGCAGGGAGAAAAAGCAACGGATAAACTTACTTGTATCTCGTCTTGCCGTCCCAGATTTCTGCCGATATTTTCCTCTGACTGAACCAACGACCGTTCAACAATTGAACGCACGCCTGTGCTTCCGCTGGCTCCCGAAATGTTACCTGTGCTACACCTTCCGGATGTCTCTGCAACAAAATATGCAACAAAAGTTACCCTCAAACTCTTGAAACTTTTCTTCCATCAAAATGAAACACATCAGTCAAATAATATAAAAAAAATTCCTTTTTCTAGTAACGAACATCTCTTTTTTTTATAAATTATATTATTTTATGAAAATTTATTTATTTTTTATAAATTATACTATTTTATAAAAATTTATTTCTTTTTTATAAATTATACATTATACTATTTATAATAGTATAATTTAAAAATTTTTTAACAAATTATACTATTTCATAAAAATTTATTTTTCACGCTGACAAACAGACATTTCCTTAGATAGATATTTGTAGCCGTTCATTTATTTCGCGCTTTGCTCGCTTTATACTTTACTCTTGAAACCTGACTCAACGAAACCAACGAAACGCAGGCGTTAATTAAACAATGGCTCAGTTAATTACACAAAGATGGATTCACTCGCATTGCAACCACTTTTGCACCAAGACGGATCCGAGTTTTACGACTTGAGTCTCGCCTCACGTCGCGATACTTTCCTCGTGCCTCAGACTTAAACCGCAATTTATGAGCCTTCGGTTTGAACATCAATTTTACTGTCTGACCTCATGCGCGACACGGCGCTCTCTTTGTTCTTTCCCTTTGTTCTTTTCGTTGTACCTCGTTAGATCAATCGGCACGCTCTTCGTTTCATCCGTCGTCCTTCGTTGCAAATACAGAACAAAGTCCATCTATATTTACAACTGTAAAATTAACCCCCGTTTTATGGATATTCGATTTTTCCTATCTAAACAACTCTATATGTTCGTTCAATTTCTTCGTAAATTTAAAGTAAATAAGCAAAGAAGGAACATTCAGTTCAACGAAATTTACTGCGCTCCAAAAAAATTTCTCCGCAAAACCACGATCGATCATAACTTTTCCACAACGGAGTCAAAAAAAAAAAAGAAAAAGAGGAACACGAGAAGAGAGAAAGAAAGAAAGAGGGAAGAAAGCGGAGCAAAGACGACCGGCCTGACGAAAAAGAGGCAACCGGATATTACGCTGGAATGATGTTCCCCGAATCTCGCGAGAAGTCGGCGAATGCCGACTAAAATGCATCGTCTGTTCATAAATTTGGTTTACGAGCATCGGCATCGTTCCTCTTCCCTCGTTTTTTCCTCCATGCTCTCTCTTTTTTTACCAAGTTCCGCGCGCGGTTCGAAAGCGACCTGGAAAATACGGGGGCAGAGAGAGAGAGAGAGAGAGAGAGAGAGAGAGGAGAGCAACGATCGCGGGTAAATTGGCCGCCACGAAATTTCCTTTCACGCGCCGCTTTTGATCTCGAACGCACGTTTCTACACGGATACAGCGATACTGGCCCTCCCTCTCCCTCTCCCTCTCCCTCTCCCTCTCCATCTCCCTCTCCCTCTCCCCCGCACGACGGAATTCACTTTGACATTGAATGGATTCACGCGGCTGAGACCCGCCGCCGACACTGGGTGTGTCTCTCGTTGCGAATTTATGGGGTTAGGTCATCCCTTTTCCAAGGTTTATTCGCGTCGACCGTGAAGCAGTCGCGCTTCTTTGTTGTATCCACCGTCGTCGTCGTTTCTTCTTGCTGCGCGTCTTGCACCTTGTCACCGACTCATTGTCCTTCGTTGGCCGAGATTTCTTTCAAATTTCGCCGCTGAACTTGCACAAATTAAAAAAACATTGTAATCGACGGAAGTTGCCGAACATTTCCAGGCCAACGACAACAGCTGTCCTCGCTCCTCGGATTTCCGACGTGGCGAAAAGAATGCTCGTGGAATCTGTAACATCGTACTTTTACGTTATATTCTTGCATTCTTTCTCCGGTGTTATTTTCTCTCCCTTTCACGACGTCGCTTTTGATCCCCATCGCACGTATTTCCAGCATTGTCGCGACTCTATTCTCCGCTGCCATTCTTCGGTCCTCCATTCACCGTGTGCCGTTCTTTCTCTCTCTCTCTCTCTTTCTTTTCTTTCCATACCGATGTTCTTCTTTTTTCCTTTTCTTTCTCTTTTTTTTCGAGAAGTTGCGCTCTCTGGTTACTGAAATCCCTCTTTTAGAAACTTGCCCGCTTCCTCGCCTTCCATTAGGCAGTACAATTACCCCCCCCCCCCCCCCCCCCGTGAATGCTAATTGAGAAGTTTACGAAACGAAAGACGACGGTGTATACATGGCAGAATTCTTTCCAAATTTCTGAATAATCAAACCTCCAAGCGCTGCGACAGTTTATTTAAACAAACATCTATTTCATCTGTTTCAAACTCCTCCTGATTCTTCCAATCGCACTCTTTCTCTCTCTCTCTCTCTGTCTCGCATCACGCATGAAATGCATTTCCGGAGAAAGAAAGACGATCAAAGGAAATTCGAGTGGAACGGCAGATTATCTCTTGGAATGTGCAGTAACTGTAGTAGCAATTGGGACGAAAAGGGAACTTTCAGAAACGGTTCGGGTTAGTTCGGTAATCGCTGGAAACGATTTCCAGAGAAAGTAACTACTCTCGACCATTGACTAATCACAGGGTGCGCGTCGTCAGGTAATTCTCCAAAGGGTAATAGGGCGGCTTGAAACAGCCTGACGCGCGTAGGAATTAACTGGGAGACTTGGCGAAAAATAACGATCTAAAATCTATTATCTCGTGAACGCGCGACATTCACCTGACTCTCGACAATGTTTTCTTTTTTTTTTTTTCAACTACCACTCGTAATAATTTCTTTTGTGTTGAATCGACATTGCCATGAATCGACAAAGGTGAACGACGACGAGAGGCTTGAAAAATATTCTCTGGATCAAAAATTTGGCGAGAGCCACACATAGTCTACATATTCTTTTATCAGTTCAATCTATAATTCAGTCTATAATGTTACTTATGACGATATTAAAAACATCAAAATTTTTATAGTGAAACGACACACTGATTGGAAAAATGTATTTACATTAATGAAAACTTTTAACAAGAACACCGAGTCTGTTTTTTTTAGATACCAGTTCATCATTCCATTTGGTAGTGGCAATACGAAGAGTATTTTCAAGATGCTCGTCTAAAATTTCTGTTCTCATTTTAATTTCCGTGTGCTTCAAAATCTCTTGCATCGCGAATATAACTACTCCACAAAAGGGACATTGTGGTTAAAATTATTCAAATAATAAAATTCTTATTCAATTTCGGTTGAGCCGCGGGTCGCGAGATTGTAAAATTTTCAAATGCTCGAATACTTCAAATATACGTGCATTCAAAAAAAAAAAAAAAAACTTTTGCTGTGTGTTGTTGTCTCGACACTACAATGATGATGTTACGAAACATAGCGCGATTCTATTACTCTTAATAGCCACGGTATTAAAGGGCTGGACTGGAAAGATCATCGATAGGTCAGTGATGACTTACGCGACACGGAATGCGCGTTACCAATTGACCTAGATCTCGCACCGGGCGCAATATTTATTCATTTAGAATTCGCAAAGCATTCAGTTACAGTCAGTAAAATTGCAATACAATTTTATATTAATGAGACATTAATTGCAAGTGAAATTCACCGCAGACATTTTACAACATCGATCCCCGTTTTTCTGTCTCCTTTCTTTTTTTTTTTTTTTTTTTTTCACGCGACCTTTCAAACGCTAATACGATAATCAACGTTCGATTTGTTTTCATATAAATTTACGACACGGCGGATGAAATTCTATTTCGTAATGCTGCCTGATTAATTGCTTCGTTACATTTACTTTAACAGCCAAGCGATTAAACTAATTATCCGCTTGTTATGCTACTTCAAAGTGAATGTATCAATCTGCGTTGGGGAAGTTCATCTAATAAGTACGTTGTTTCGAGCAACGTGTTTCTCAATACTTCTCTCGCTCGAGGTATTTTATAATGAAAAATTCCTCGAGCCCCACCCGGGTTCATTAACGGTTCATTACTTACGTCATAAATAATAACTTTTCGGACGTCGCCGCATTTCAGGCACTCGGATCTGATGTCCTGTTGATATTCAAGCAGTAACGAGACTTCCTTGTCAAAGTCTTCCGGCGAGAACAGATTCTTTATGATTACAACCCTCTCGTGTCGCAGGGGCTCTCCAGGCGCGCGTTCAGGCTTCCAATCGAACAGTCTGCAAAAAAAAAAACAAGAAAATTAACAATCACGTAATAACGAATTCTCTGAAAATTATTTTCCGTGAAAAAGAATTGGTCAATTTCTGGTTTAGGCTTTTACCACCCAATTTTTGCCTAGTTCGCTGCTGGTTTATAATTTTTTCGACCTTCTCCGATTTTGATCTTTCTTCTTTCTTATTTTTCAGTGATAGAATGAACCTCTCGTTAAAGAAACGGTAACGAGATAGCCTAAATTTGGAGAGGGAAAGCTGCTAAACTAGAAATTTACGCTAAACCAACAATTGTACGAATGTTTATATAAGGTGTCTGAATAACTTTGAATATTATATCCGTTGTTTCTGAGGATATGAAAAGTACGAATGCTTATACAAGGTGTCTTAATAACTTTGAATATTATATCCGTTGTTTCTGAGAATATGAAAAGTACGAATGTTTAAATAAGGTGTCTCAATAACTTTGAATATTATATCCGTTGTTTCTGAGGATATGAAAAGTACGATTGCTTATACAAGGTGTCTCAATAACTTTGAATATTATATCCGTTGTTTCGGAGGAAATGAAAAGTACGAATGCTTATACAAGGTGTCTCAATAACTTTGAATATTATATCCGTTGTTTCTGAGGATATGAAAAGTAC